CTCCTGCTCCCTCCTCTCACAGCGACAGCCAGCATCCGCCTCATTTTACTTGAGGATACATACTGGAACATGTATAATAGCAGTATTTTCTTTTATAACACCAGTATGATACTAATGATATTTTCCTACATTCTTTTAAATTGTAAGTACCATTTCCAGAAATATTAGCCCTGTTTTCAATACTTTTACTACACATCTTGGAAGATTAAATACAGAACATACCTGACATATTTATGCTGCTTGAGAAAGTGTACTATTAAATATTCCAAGTGGAAACTATAGTTTTCTTCTCCTAATCTAGACAAAATTGAAATCTGCTTCAAAAAGCCTAATCTGAATAAATGGGGGAATAAAAACATCTTTCCTCTGTCAAAGAAACTTCACCTGGAGACCCTTTCTAGTGTCTGGCTCAGTTTGGGGGGTTTGGAATACAAGCACTTGTCATTTGTCCCAAATCAGGAGTTTGAAATAGTTGGGTGAGAATAAAGTTTCCTATTAAATGAGGAGCAATGTTTAGGAAAGTTTATTCTGTTATGGAAAAAAAAAAAAACTCTGAAAGATGTATAGAGACAAAATACATAAATTATAGTCTGTAAGGTAAAATTTGTTTAATATTAACTACCTGGTTAAATACTTCAATAAACTGGTTAAATATTTTAATAAGCTTTTCTCCTGATGGTGTAGTATAAATACTGAAAAACATATTGAGGCAGATATGGCAGTTCTCAGAACTGTTTCTGTTTCTGTTTCGAGCTAGTCAATCAAACTTAATATTTAACCTGTCGTTGACCTGCAGTTTGATAACTTGAGTCTCAATCCAAAGATCCACTCTAGATCAATGGTATATATTCAAGATATAAATCATCGTGTGTGGAAAACTATGTTCTTCACTGAACTATCTAAAAATTCATAAATTAGAGAACAGTAGCTAACATTTATTGAGTGCTTACAAAGTACTAGACATCTTAAATCTTTAAATGTTAACTCATTTAATTCTCATAACAGCCCTATGAGGCAGGGTTCATTATTACTTCTGTAATACATAAGAAAACCGAGGCACAGAAATGTCTCTTTCTCAAAGTTACTCAGCTCGTAAGCAGCAGCATTGGATTTAATCCTGGCAGGCTGGGTCCAGAGCTTTATCCCCCTACTCTCAAATGCACACTCTTATCCATTATATCCTATAACAGATCTTCAACACGTGTGTCATCAAAGACCCACAGGTGATAGTCATATCCACAATTTCAGGTAAAAATATCTAATACCTGCAAATCTGGGAATAATCCACAAAACCAAGATTCTAGCCTCTTTGTTCAAGACAGTGACTTTTAAAATGGGATCAACATTAAATATCACTGTGACTGGTGTTAAAATCATGCATGCCCCTCAGCCAATTGCATAAATTTATTTCTCAAAAAATAATCTCTTCCCTTTAATAGAAGGTTTTTTTTTTAATTTAGAGGGTGGTTATGTGAGGAAGCAAGAAGGGAGATTGGTAAAGAAGCAGAAAAGAGATTTACAACAGCAGGATTAAGACTAACACTGAAGCTGCCTAACACCCAACTTCCTTCATTCAGAAAACACTTCTCTGGACTTTCTTTTAACCCCCAAATGCAACTGTTATCCAGGAACAGTCACAAGTTAGATTTATTAGCAAGTTTTTCTCTGGAGGAAGTACTGTAATTGAGTTAAATGGAAGCCAAGTACCTGGGAACAGATTATTTTCTGACATACAGTAAACTCTTCTTGACCTTTCCCGACAATCCACATTTTCTATTGTGTAAGAATTATCAATGCCATGAAATTTGACCTTAGGGTTTGGCAATATTTCAAGCAACTAAAGTGTCCTGTTAGGCTGGAGATAGGTGCATCCTGTGATAGGGAATGAAGGTTAGAATATCTGGAGAGGGGTGCAGAAAAGAGTCATAATGGCAGAGATCAGGAAATTCTATGAAATAAGGTCAAATAAGGTATAGCAGCATCGCTAATGTGTTCTGAGGTTAAGATGCTCTGTCATAGATAGAAGTTTGTTTTGTTTTGTTTTGTTAAATCCCCCACTATCACGATTATGGACATTTGTCTGTGCTTACATCAAGCCTGCTCAAGTCAGACAATGTCAAGAGAAAGAAATACAGTAATGCTTAATTAGATTTACATTTTACTTTCATCATCAAGCATAATGGTACCCAAAAGTCAAACTGCTTCCTGTGTTGTTCCACTTGTTAGTGGAAGCATGAAGCTGACAGAGACAGAGCACCTTACATCTGCCCATTCTGAAAATAAATCAGACAATGTTTTTCTATGAAGAACACCCAGTGTGAAAAGGCTGGAGGTCGGGCAAAACTTAGATTTGCTCCATCATGAAAGCACCCTACAAGATTGCTAATCATATGGGTAAACAAAAGAGGCCACACACACTGAAAAGATCTTAATGAAGCCGAGAATTCTAGAAATGGACATGTGTCACATGGCTTAGAGCAGAGGAAGAAAACTGAAATGGAGTCTTTCTTAACTGAAAAGGTCTAAACTCTTCTAAAATGGTGTCTTTCTTAACAAATCCAGAATTTTATTTCTTCTAATGTTTTGAAGCAAATCTGAAGGAAGTGGTAGCTACGTTATTTCATTCTCAGTATAACTCTGTGACAACTGCTAGTTCATGATATGGACTGAATGTTTGTGTCTGCTCCAAATTTATCTGTTGAAGCCTAATTCTCAATGTGATCATATGAGAAGGTAGGCTTTGGGGAGGTGATTAGTTCATGAGGGTGGATCCCTCATGATTGGGATTAGTGCCCTTAAGAGGCTGAAGAGTTCTCCCCTTCTGACATATAAGGATGCAGCCAGAAGCCACCTTCTCTGAACCAGGAAAGCCTAATTCTCAATGTGATCATATGAGAAGGTAGGCTTTGGGGAGGTGATTAGTTCATGAGGGTGGATCCCTCATGATTGGGATTAGTGCCCTTAAGAGGCTGAAGAGTTCTCCCCTTCTGACATATAAGGATGCAGCAAGAAGCCACCTTCTCTGAACCAGGAAGCAGATCCTCACCAGACGCTGAATCTGCTGGTGCCTCGACTTAAGACTTGATTAGTTCATGAGGGTGGATCCCTCATGATTGGGATTAGTGCCCTTAAGAGGCTGAAGAGACCAGAGTTCTCCCCTTCTGACATATAAGGATGCAGCAAGAAGCCACCTTCTCTGAACCAGGAAGCAGGTCCTCACCAGACGCTGAATCTGCTGGTGCCTCGACTTCAGACCTCACAGGCTCCAGAGCTGTGAGAAATCAATTTCTGTTGTTTATAAGGTACCCAGTTTATGGCATTTTGTTAAAGCAGCTGAAATGGACTAAGACAGTCTAGTTTCTGGTTTTCACATGATTCTTTTATTTACTCATCAACTATGTACTGGCAACTATATTCCAAGTACTATTCTAAGTACAAGGAATACAGGCTAATAATGTCAGGTCCCTATTTTCTTGGAGCTTTCATTGTAGAAATAAAGAACACCATCAACCAGGAAACAAATAAATTATCAGTGATAAAAGCCATAAGAAATACGTTAAAAAGAAAGCAAATAGAATGATAATTCATACTGGGTGCATAGAAAAGATCTCTTTGAGGGGATGACATTTAACCTAAGATTTAAATCATCAGAGAAGATGACAGCTATGTGAAACTCTACATGAAGAGTGTTTTAGGCAAACTGAAAACATCAGAAAAAAACCAAGTCTTGAGCTCCTTTTGGAAATTGCCAAAGTCATCAACAGTTTTGAAAAATTTCTTTGCCAAACAAAAATTCAATAGTTGTGTTAGTCCGTTTCCGTTGCTTATAACAAAATACATGGAACTGTGTGAGCTATAAGAAAACAAAATTCATTGCTTACAGTTTCAGAGGCTAGAAAGTCTAAAGTCCAGGAACATATCTGATGAAGACTTTCTTTGGTGGTGACTTCAGTAATGGCAGGGTATCACATTGCGAAAATGGCAGAACAGAGAGCAGAGCAAGAGAGAGAGATTTTTTTGTGCTCCCCTTTTACGCCCTCCAAACCACGCCCATGAGCACCATTTTTAATCCAGTCACTATGGCAGGGTCCAATAACCTAATCACCTCTTGAAGGCCCCACCTTTCGAATACCATAATAGGATTTCCCATCCTCTAACAATCACTTAGTGGGGGCTGTTTCTAATACATAAAACTTGGGGGATACAATTCAAGCTTCAGTGAGTTTTGGGGGACATAATTCAATCCACTACAAATGGATAAGAAATCCTGTTCCTTGGAGTATAGATGGAGAAGATGTTACACTTGTGAGTACATCTCATTGTTCTACATTGGTGAAAAAAGATCATTATTATTTAATGTTTCCATCAGCAGCATATAAAAATGCTAAAGACTGTTCCAGCAGTCCTGAAAGCCTTGTCTACTCCCATGAAATGCTGTCAATTTTATCAAGACCAGAACCTTAAAATGTAACACTTTAACAAGAGGTTTGATTAAGAAATAGGAGCAGAATAAAAAAGTGCTCTATACTACAGAGAAGATCACTGGTGTTCTAAAGGCTATGTCTTGAAGCACTTGTTTGATATTTAACCCAATGATTCATTTAAAAAAATAAAAAGGAAAACTTAACACTTAGAATAATTAGACAGAGTTGAGCTCATTCATGGCTGTTTGATGGCTAGTAGATGTTTGGAGTTATGTAAATGTGAGAACTCTTTTCATTAAAGGCAGTCACCAGGATGCATACTACTTGAAAATGCAGTCTCTTTTGCTGCTCTGGACTAGAACACTGAAGGCAGACAACCAACCATACAGCTTTACAAAGGTGGAGGAAGCACTTTTGCACAGCCTAGAAGGTGGCAAAGCCACTACAGTTACTCCACAACCAAAAATCTGTAGACAGCATTTGAAGACTCCAAAAACCTTAAAACTGAAGCATGGTCATTAACCTACACTCCGTAAACAGAATTAATAATGTATATCCCATTGACTTGAAGACAACACGACTCCCCAAAGAGCCCGATTTTGCCTAGAAAAACAACAGAATGCTCTGATTCTACTGCTTACAGCATACCTTTGTGAATTAGGGTTTTCAGCCAGTGTCATCTCAAAAGAAAAGATGAATTCATTGATTTTGGCTAACATTGTCTTCCCTTTTGGAAGACAGAAGAGTGTAGAGTTAAGACCACAGATGCAAGGCTGGCCAGTTAGCTCAGTTGTTCAGAATGTTGTGCTAATAACACCAAGGTCAAGGGTTTGATCCCTGTACTGGCCAGACACCAAAAAATAAAATAAAGACCACAGATACTGAAGTCAGAATGATCTACGTTCAAATCCAGACCTGACACTTGCTAGCTATGTAAGTATGAAAATGTTTTCTGAGACTTAGATTCTTCATTTGTAACATAGATATAGTATCTGCCTCAAAAGTGGTTGTCAGGATTAAATGAGATAAGGTATATGAAATTTTTAGCACATTACCTAGAACATAGTAAGAATTTTTGAAATTATAGGTATTATAATAATTAAATGCATAGATAGTATATACATTGTCATATCAATATTCACTCTACAGCCAAAAATAATAACTTATTGAAATTTACTCATAGAGGAATTTTAATTTTTTCCTATTTTTCACAGAGGCCATTACTTTTTCATGAAAAATGAAAGTGAAAGAGACATAATTTATATATTTTGTTTATGTTGACAAAATAAATTTTGAATGCAATAAAATTAATTTATCCAAAATTTTACATGTCTGTTTATGTATGTTTTTTCTGAATAAGACATTTATAGTTTTTATCGGTTTCTCAGAGATATGTGTGAACTCTCTCCCTCTTAAAAAAATAAATTTAAAAACGATTCATCTCTACACCCAAGTAAAAGGACCAAAACAAGAATATTCAACAAAAACATGAGATGGGATGGGATGGAATGGGATGGAATGGGATGGGATGGAAAGATGTGGCGTAGAGTGGAGTGAGTGGACAGGCATGAAGTGGAATGAAATGGAATTTATCAACTAAAATGCCCTTGAATAAAATGTACAAGGCAAAATAGCAACAGCAAACAGTACCAGCCTGTCAATCTTTTTCTTTAAGTGATAGTGATGACCTCTTTTTCAACTGGGTTTACCCAAAAGCTGAGGGATACTTCTACATAAAGAGCCAATTGAAAAATTCAGGACAACAGAAAAGTTTGTCTTTTCTGAGGAGCTGGTGTGCTTCTGCTGTTAGAAATGGAATCTTTGTTACTTATTCTTCCTTTTGGGTCTTAGCCCTCAGGAAGCTCAGGGATATGTTTTATATTTACTGTAAGCAATTCCCCCTAAGCCTTTATTTTTCCTATTTTTTCTGTCCCCTACCCTGCATTCTTCCTTATGTTGTTTTTATACTTTTGTCCTTGGGGTTTTTTTGTTCATTTGTTTGTTTGTGGGGTTTTTTGGTCCTTGTTTTAGTTGTTCTTTTGTAACTGTGTCCTTTATAAAGGAAGGAAGGAAGGAAGGAAGGAAGGAAGGAAGGAAGGAAGGAAGGAAGGAAGAACTTCTCAAAAGTATAACCTTCAAATGAGATATTATAAACATAGCAGCCTTAACAGGGTAAAAATCTGTAGTTCATAATATTTTAAACCTGAATTAAACTATTTTACAAACCTTAAACCAAAAAAAACCCCACATTTTCCCCAAATTTAAACGTTATTGTTTTTGTTCTGGTAAATGTTCTCATTCTAGATATTACTAATGAAGTATTACTAATGAAGTATTCTCTAAACACTGTTCTTGGGGGTTGGGGCAGATCTACTCCCCGCTGCCACTCCAGCAGCAGCCAGTATATCGGACCCCTTTCGCCCTCAACCGTGGATCTTTGCAGCCACTCTGCCTGGTGCTTCTGTGGCTCCCCAACCTTCAATCCAACGCAGTTACCTGCTCAGAGGGCAGACTGCCTCCCCTGCTGCGTCTCTTGCTGGGCATTTTTTACTCTTATTTACAGTTTTGTTAGAAACTTTCTGTTACTTACAAAAAGACGTTGCTTTAGCACATCCAACATCGAATCCCTTTCTGGAGAATCTCTGCAGCCCAAGGAAACCAGAATTAGGATGGAAGGAAGGAAGGAAGGAAGGAAGGAAGGAAGGAAGGAAAGAAGAACTTCTCAAAAGTATAACCTTCAAATGAGATATTATAAACACAGCAGCCTTAACAGGGTAAAATCTGTAGTTCATAATATTTTAAACCTGAATTAAACTATTTTACAAACGTTAAACCAAAAAAATCCCCACATCTTCCCCAAATTTAAACGTTATTGTTTTCGTTCTGGTAAATGTTCTCATTCTAGTTCTGTAGATATTACTAATGAAGTATTCTCTAAACACTGTTGGGGGTTGGGGCAGATCCACTCCCCGCTGCCACTCCAGCAGCAGCCAGTATATCGGACCCATTTTGCCCTCAACCGTGGATCTTTGCAGCCACTCTGCCTGGTGCTTCTGTGGCTCCCCAACCTTCAATCCAACGCAGTTACCTGCTCAGAGGGCAGACTGCCTCCCCTGCTGCGTCTCTTGCAGGACATTTTTTTACTCTTATTTACAGTTTTGTTAGAAACTTTCTGTTACTTACAAAAAGACGTTGCTTTAGCACATCCAACATTGAATCCCTTTCTGGAGAATCTCTGCAGCCCAAGGAAACCAGAATTAGGATGACTGAAAGTT